GGACTACCTGGTGAGGCGTGGAGGAAAATGCTGAAGCAATGTCACTACTTAAGAACAAGCGTCTGCATGTTTGAAGACGTTTGACTTGTTTTTCACATGTTATTTCACATTTGTTGCATGCTTGGTGTTTTATCATGATTGTACCTCAAAAATGTTTACACGATCCCATCGAGCTAACCTTATGGTTCAGGTTTGCATTATGCATGGGTTGTATGGCCCATTGCATGTTGGTTTGAGACTTTGTTTGTTGCACTCACTTATTTCATGTCCATGCTGCATCGATTCACTATTGTTGCATTACTCATATCATGACTACTTTGTTGTGTTGTGCTTTTGGGGTTTAGTCTCTTATGCACTTGATTTGAATGTTATGCATTTTTATGCACTGAGTTTTTTACTTTTCCTAAGTAAAATATTCATTTTACTTGTATAGGTTTAGGTTGCAGGAGTCGGAACATTAGTGGCTAAACTTCAGCTACCCATAGTTTGTCCCATGGTTATAATAGAGAAATGAGCATGGCCTGTTGTTTTACCCTATCGAGCAATGTAAATTAACTTATTAAGACTAGATCTCGTATGATCGTTCCAAACATAGGTTGGGCCAACCTCCGTCACTTATCTTGATGAGGATTAGTTCATTCAATGCTTGGGATGAAGCCAGCTTAGTGACCCCATTAAGGTCTTATAGGAACACTCCTAGTCCCTGCATTACACATCTTGCACTTAGGTGATAGTTAGACAACACCAAGCTAGGATATAGTTAAGGTTTTTTTTTGTGCACGTGCCTTATTCTTTGGCCCATGCTAGTTGTTGCATCTTGAGTATATTTTAAATGTTTATTGGGTATGAGACTTGCGCACTAGTATATTAGGATGAATTCTTCCTTGCAGGGTGCCACATCCAAAAGGGGGGAGCTTAATGATTTTAACTAACATATTTTTGGCATGTGTTGCTTAGCTCTACTCCAATTGGATACGGCTTTTATACGTTGCACGAGATAGCCTATACTAACCTTTATTGTGCAGGTTAAGTTTTTTTTATATATTTTTCTTCTTGTACATCTAAAGTCCTTTAGAGGAGTATGTACTAAAAATAAGATATGAGCATAAGTCTTAAAGCTTGGACTTGGAGCAAGGACCATGTAGAGAGGACCAGGAGTTGTTTTGCTCATGTCTCATATCTTAATTATGGATTGTACCTTTATTGTATGGTTCTAGGATCAGAAATGTATATATGAAGCTTGAGCACCATTTTTTCTTTTTCAGTTTTGTAGAAAACCTAATGACAATCGGCATTTTATTCTTTTATATTAAGTATTTACTTTTCATTACTTTGTTTGTGCTTACTCTTTCGTCAGTCTTCGGTTTATCTGGATGCAATCATGATTACACTTTTTGGAATAAAATCTTTGTTATAAAATGTAATCTTAAAAGATTTATCTTTAATAAAACTTAAGATTAAAATATTTAAGATTTTAAAATATGTTATTTTATTTCCTGCATTTATTTTTATGCATGGCCTTTGGGCCTGTTTTAAAATGATCATAAAATTAATGGATATTACCCTCGATCATGCTAAGCTCATCACTGCATACAAATCACATCACATGAGGAAAGTACTTTTGTTTTCCAATCTGACTAGCCCAACATATGTTTTATACAATTAGATGGTTGTCTAGTTTGGTATAGGATATTAGAGGATCTCCTAATTCAAATGGAATAATAAGTTTTTTGTTGGGTGTCTCAACTCTGTAGCTAAGTCTTCCTTCTTATAGATTTTGTGTCCATACTCTTGGTAGGCATAATCCATATTTTTCTTTTTGGTCCAGATAAAGTCATGGGAACTTAAATGTTTCTTTTCTTTGGCTTTGGATATATTGGATTTCTTTGAATGATGCAACATATGAGTTGCTAATGAAGTGATCCCTAGTTGGGTTGGGTCTTTTTCCTTCCCAACTTAGTATATGAGGTCCAAATAGTTCAGGAGGATGAATCTATGGAGCCCCGATCAGGCTATCTCTACCTGTCTAGTTATTTCTTTGACCCATCTATTGATCTATGTCTTTGGGCACAATCATTTTTTTTGTTGAGTTTTTATAGTTGTATATTTTTGGCCCTCTTAGCACACTGATATCCACCCATCAAGTTACTGTGATTCACTCTCTGCTTAGTGGTCTAGTTTTCTCCTAATGATTAGAAGATCTGCCTTACTCATACAGTAAAAAATCTCTTTTGTTGCTTGTATTTCAAAAGATTTATTTAAGCTAACACAACACTACTTATCATGTGCCTTCCGGGGATTTCCACAATATGCAATTGACCACAAGGATACGTCACTGTGGGATATCTCTTAGACCTAAAGCAAAATAAATTTAATTTTATATTCTCATTGGTTATGAAAGTCTTTTTATAGGATCATTTTTGTATATTTTCTAAGGTTGAGTATGATCTGATTTACTTTAGATCGTTCTTCTCCATTTTTATGTTATGAGTACTTTTTATGTAAATGTCTTCTTAATTTTTCCCATTTTGAGTCTTATCTTAATTCATTTGATTTTCTAAGCGAGGTTGCTTAGAAAGTGGGATTAAAAAAGTCATATGCTAAGAAGGCCTTTCCGGTCATAACAAAAAGGAGCGAAGAACGGTAGAACAACATATAGAGTTGGCTTCAGGTTGTACTTTTATTTTTTTTATTCTAATATTTTTTTTCTCTTAGTGTATATTAATCAGTGATATTTTCTTTATTATCTTCTTTTATACATTTATGAGCTTCAATTTCTTTTTAAAGTATTCTCATTTAAAGCACATAATGAAAATAATTTTTATTTTTAAAATAAAAATAAAATTGACCCTTAAACTGAAGTGCTACATTTTTAATCACATTTTTTTGAGTTGTTTTTTTTTAGTATAAGCAATGGTGAAGCTCACTCATGCTTTAATTATTTTTTTATTGCAAAAAAAAGTTTATTCAAAAAACTATTTGTAATAAAAAACTTAATAATATAGGGCAATTAACTAAAAATAAAAATATAGAGATATAATTCTTTAAAGTTAAAATACACAATAAATTAAATTGTAATCATAAATATAATTGTTAAATTTATTAAGAATATTATTATTATTATTAGAATTAAAATTTGGTTGAAAACTAACCAATTCAAAAAAGTTTGGAATATTTACATGCATATCACAAAATTATTTTGCATTTTTATAAAACAACTAAACTTTAATTCTTACATTTAATAAAAGTTAAAATAGAATTTTTTTTATTATTTATGGAAATTTAGGAATAATTAAGAATTAAAGTTGTGTTATATATGAAATAATATAAGTATTGTGTGCTATATAAGAGTTTTGTTTTATTTATGTAAATATATAAATATAAAGTATAATAATTAATTTATATTAAAATATAAAAACCCGTGCTTTATTTATGTAAACGTTAACTTAGCGAACGAGCCGAACACGAGCTTCTTAACGAGCCGAACACGAGCTGTTCGCGAACAACAAACCTTTTTGACAGCCCTAGTTGTTTCAAATTCTAACTAATGTGGTTGAAATGTACAACATTCTTTATCTGAGATAATTTATTCCACCATCAACTTTATTGTTCACTTTTTGTTTATTCTTGCCAAGAATCAATGAATACTCTCTTCTTCACCAAAGTTCTAAAGGTAGACAAAAAATGGTTGGAAAGATACCTCACCAACATAATGCTTGTGAAACTTGTCCCAATTCTTTATAATTGGAACTCTAACTCATCATATTATTTAAATATTATCTGAGTTAATTTGCTTTTATTTTAAAAATATTAATATTAATATTATTATTAATGATTAAAATTTATTTATAGATGAAATTAAACCAAACTATTTCAAAAAATATAAGCTTAGTAACTTTGAAAGTTCCAACTAAGCAACCTAAAAAGAAATTGATTTACTTGTAATTCTAATGAAAAATAAAATTTGTGTTTTTATTGGGCAATGGAATACATTTTAAACTCAAAATAAGAAGGCAAAAAAAAAAGTGATGTGCTTTTAACATTTTGGATAAGTACTCTAAGTCTTTGTTTGAGAACACAATATCGCTCCATTCAGTTTAAGTGAACATTGACATGTAAATTTATATTTCGTTTGATAAAATAGCGTATCACCATGCCTCCCCAAATGATTTCAACTTAACCGCGATTTTTCCTATTTTAGAACTTAGACAACTGTTCGTTCCGCCACATAACTTTTAAATAAGTTTTGTTAAACGAAAATAGCGTATCACCATGCCTCCCCAAATGATTTCAACTTAACCGCGATTTTTCCTATTTTAGAACTTAGACAACTGTTCGTTCCGCCACATAGCTTTTAAATAAGTTTTGTTAAACGACGAAGGTCTTTCAAAGGAGGCCTAAGTATGTCCACAATGATGTGCTTTTAACATTTTGGATAAGTACTCTAAGCCTTTGTTTGAGAACACAATAACGCTCCATTCCGTTTAAGTGAACATCGACATGTAAATTTATATTTCGTTTGATAAAATAGTGTATCCTGATGCCTCCCCAAATTATCTCAATGTAACCGTGTTTTTTCCCATTTTAGAACTTAGACGACAATGTCCGTTCCGCCGCGTGATTTTTAAAGAAATTTTGTTAAACGACGAAGCTCTTTCAAACGAGGCCTAAGTATGTCCACAGAACGACTTTATCATCTCGAGAAATATGTCGCCATGTGATACCATAAATTGGCTAATTTGAACAATTTTTAACAATTTGTTATTTTTTAACATTAAAATTTATAAAAATTGTTGGAACAATTTTTAATAAGCCATTGTAGTCTCATGCAAGAAAGAATGTGTGATGAGTGAGAGAGAGAGAAGCTTTTAAACAATTCCTTATTCCAATTCACATGCATTCACGTTTTCTTACTCTGCAGTTGCACTAACTTTTCACAAGAATGGAATGAACACCCAAAAAGCTGATCCTCGCTCTCTCTATTTATACTTCATGACAGAAATATATCATAACATTCAGCACAGAAAAGCAAACACAGCTCCATCTTTTCACTGTAGAAGAGCAGTGGGACAATGGGTTTCTGCTACAGTATTTCATGGATTCCACTTCTTGCTCTGAGCCACATCTGCTTCTTTGTTGCCTGCGGAAGCACTAATCAGGACCCAACTGCCATAATCGTAGGAACAGTTTACTGTAACACTTGCTTCCATCAGAATTCATCAAGACACAACCAAGTCCTTTCAGGTATAATGTTCTTCAAATTTTCAGTCTGCTTCCATCATGATAATCTGCATGTATTTCTGCAATCAAATAAGGTTGTGAAAATCAAACAGAAGTATTTCAATTGTTTAAATATAATTTATATAACAGAATAATGATATATTAATATTAATTTTTATTAATTTAGTAAATAATATGTAATGGCCCCTTTAAAAGAATAATTACATATAGAGAACAAGAAACATTGCTACTTACAAATCAAGAATTTAGGTGATTTTTTAAACTATGAAATTGATGCATAATCATTGTGAATTTGATAAAAAATGAAAAATATGTGTTGTGGTTTCATCATGGCATTTAATATTTGAGGGAGAGTGCTTGATTCATAAATAACAATGTTTTGAGTGCTCTATATGTAATCGCCCCTATTTTAAAATATATTCTAAATAAATAATAAGCCATGATATTTTCTCTATTTTAAATTTAAATATCTTATTTTTAATCATACGATCAAAACTAAATGATCAAAATTGAATAATATTTGAATTGACTGCTTGTTTAAAAACCGGCCCGGTTCATCGGTTCTCTAGTTCAACCATATTATGATCTATTCAATCAAGGTTTTATGTAGAAATGATTCTAAGCTTGGACCGAACAAGTTGAATAACCAGTTCACGATTGAACCGGTCGAACCAACCTGTCCGACCAAACTTTTAAAACCATGCCATCAAGATGAAAAACAAAAAACCTTATTTCCTCACAGGTGCTTCAGTATTGGTAGACTGCAACAACCAGATAACAAAGAGCGGCTTCCAAAATTTTGTCAAAACAGACAAAGATGGTGTTTTCAGGGTGCAGCTCCCCTCTGAAATCAGCAAACACATAAAAACAATAAAGCAATGCTCTGTAAAGCTCATAAGCAGCAACGACCCATTCTGCGCAGTGGCTGCTCCTCCTACTTCATCTTCATTCCATCTTAAGTCAACAAAGAACAAGGTTCATGTCTTCTCATCTGGTTTCTTCGCCTTCAGGTCCCTCAATCAATCAGAACTTTGCTATGAAAAACGAAGTGTTGAAAGCTTCTCTGACTTTAGTGCTGCAAAAGATATAACACCTTCTTCCCCTCTCCCTGCTTTAAACATTCCCCCTCTTCCTCAGACTCCATTATTGCCTACCCTCCCAAACTTACCTCCATTACCAAGCTTGCCAAACTTACCTCAGCTTCCTGATCCACCTGCTGCTCCATCTAACCCATTTTTCCCGGGTATCCCAAAGCAGTTACCTTCAAATGAGACCAAACCTTAAATTGATGAACTGTAGAACTTGTTCTGGTTTATTAATATGTAATGTTTCTTAAGCTCTTCCATTGACTTTCTACATGCATATGTAGCTGAATAAAGTGGCTAGTGAGATCAAGATATGCAATGTATCTCATGGTGATAGCTATTTGTCTAAGAACTTTGTGTCATGTGATTATGTAAGTCGAGAATAAGTTTCATTTTGAGATGTTCAATTGTCCTTTGTGTGTTGTGGTGACATTCATAAATTGGTGTAGTAAGTTGGTTTGAATTCATACTCATGATTAAAGAGAGTGACAAATGGGATATAGTTGGCTGCGTGAATTTTGACTTATCGGTTGTTATATGTGGCATTCCAATTATGAGTTCATGTTTTACAGATTGGTCCACAAGGGTAATTGTTTATGTTTAATGTTGTGTTGTGATGAAGTGAATAATTTTGGGCAAGAAACATAGAAAGGTACATTTTTCACCATTATTTAAAAAAGGATAATTTATCAACGAAGCACACTATTCTTATGTATTTACATATCAACCCCCTAAGCTTTCATATTTTTGTGCGTAGCACTTTAGTTCTTAAAACATATTCATGTAAAAGCGTATTTCACTTTTAAAAAATGATAAGATTGCTATTTTCGATTTGATGTTAAAGTTTTGAGTGATATCTGTGTAAATGCAAAAATTTAGGCGTGAGATATGTAAATACATAAATTGTGTGACATGTTTCTAACTACCCTTAAAAAATTTGACAAGCAAATGATATATAAGGATAAATATTTTTAAACAACTTTAAAACAAAGTAAAATCAAGTCTTTATTATAACACTAATCAAGTCTTTGAATTTTAAAGAAGGTGATTGACGTCCAAAACAAAATTAATGCATGCCCATAGATTGACACAAAAGAAAATATTCCTCCATGTTGAAAATTAATATGAATTACATTCAATCTCCATTTTGGGAAGTTAAATCAAAAATCGATGGTGGATAATTCACAAGTTAATTAGAAAAAATTGGGATAAATATATTCTATGATGATAAAGTGATTATATGGTTATTATGTTGCATTCTTTATATATTTTATTCATGTTTAAATTGTGCACTAAGCTTCACAAGAAGTTTAGAGTAAGCTAGAATGGTTTTAAAACTTTTCATTGGCTTAATTATGTTGTGAATTGTACTATCATGTCTATAAGAAAAATTTAATTGGAAAAACTTTAATATATGTAAATAAAATTGCTCAAAATAGCATAATACATTGTTTAAAAGAATTCTAGAGCAATGCACAAAGTTTTTTGTAAAAATAAATTGTACTCTATTGTATTCTCATGCATATAAGAAAAAATTCATTGGAAAAAACTCAATATATATAACCAAATTTACTTAAAATCGTATAATACATTGTTTAAAATAATGCTAGAGTATTACATAAGATTTATTTAAAAAAAAAATTGTGTACCCTCTTAACCATCTCAAGAACAGAAGTAATCATTTTACGTTTAGGATGCAAATTCACTTCATCTTCCCCAAAATTCTTAAATAAACAAATCTTTCCATTATATTTATGAAGATGTACATTCTGAAATCCACACATTCTGCCCATTAACTTAAAATTGTTGTCCTAAAACATTTGTTGGAGAAATGAAGTTTCAAACCAAAAAAATTACTTAAGCAATGATATCCATCATCATATTTGTGAAGTTCTCTATCATTAGTATTACACTTGAAGTGCAAGAGTTTTTGATATTATGAATAAATCACCAGCATATGATACAAAAATTCATACTAAATATAAGAGATAGTTAAAAATTTGTTATGTCACGATACCTCCAAGAAACACTCAGGCAATGCCGTTGAGGTGTATTAATTTGGGAATCAATGTTTTCTTCTTTATTTCCTCTTATAAGATAACATGTTACAAGTTAAAACAACAAGTATAATATACATATCAATAATTCAATAACAACTTGTACAAACTTTATAAATAATGATCTCTAACAAGTGTAGAGATTACGTTTAACTCTCTTCTTCTTCTCCCAACGTCCTTTCAAATTGGCATTGGAAATACCCTTTGGACACAACCTGATTAGGTCCTTCAGCAATTGTTTCTCTCTTTTCAGTCTTTTTTTCTTAAACATTTGCTTGGATAGAGGTGTGTTTCCACGCAATATTGAGTCAACATCATAGAACATCTGTTTCAATGCTAACTGTACCCTCTCACTTAAAAGGCAAATTTTATAGAAAATCCATCAATATATGAAACTAAACATATTTTAAAAAACATAATACATTATTTAAAGTAAAAATAGATAACCCCACAAAGTCTTTTCTTGAAAATACATACCGTTTGCACTTTTTTTGTATCTCATTTTTTGTTCTATAATGTTGAGCAAGCACAAATTATTGAAAAAGCATAAATAATGGAACAAAATGTGTTTAAAAATGTAAAATATATTATTTAAAATAAAAAAGATGCCTTCATAAATTTTTTTTTGAAAAGGATTTTTGTACCATCATGCTGATTAAGTAAAATTAATTAAAAAAAATCATTAATATATGAAGTCGACCTGCTTAAAATATCATAATATATTGTTTAAAATAATTCTAGAACAATACATAAGATTTTTCTTGAAAAAATATATTATTTTTATATTAACTTTGTACCCTCATATTAATTAGAAAACCATTAATATGCGCAATCAAACATGCTCAAAATAACTTAGTATATTATTTAAAACAGTTCTAGATCATTGCATAAGGTTTTCGGTGAAAAAAAAAATTATTTATACCATATTTGCACCCTCTTTATACCGTCATGTCTATATGACAAAGTTCATTGGAAAAATATCAGTTGATGAAAGAAAACATGACTCGAATAATATTATACAATATTTAAAAAGTTTGTAGAGCAACATAAGAATTTCCTTAAAACATTTTTTACCCTCTTTGTACTCTCAAGCATATAAGATAAAGCTCATTGGAAAACTATCACTAGATAAAAAATATGATTTAAATAGCATTATACATTTCTTAAAAAAATTCTAGAATAGTACATAAGGTTTTTATTGAAAAATTTTTTTGTACACCCTTTGTACCCTCATTTCTAAAAGATAAAGTTTATTGAAACCTTCAATATATAAAACATAATATTATTCAAATATGACTTTACATTATTTAAAATCATTCTAGAGCATAAAACTAATGGAAAAGCAATGTTTTCTTACCTCCAGTATTGCCACAACTAGCCTGAAAATGCGCTATATGTTGTCTGAGATTTCCAATCCCGTCAAATATCTTATTGATTTTTTTTTTTTGGTACGATCTTCGTACCATCATGCCTATAAACCAAAGTTGGATAGAAAATCATTAAAATATGGAACTGAACTCACTTAAAACATCATAATACTTTATTTGAAAGAATTTTAGATCACTAAATAAGATTTTCATTGAAATTTTTTTCCGTGCATTTCTTTATCCCTCATACATATAAGACAAAATTAGTTCACAAAATATCATTATGCAAAACAAAAGCAACTCTAGTCATGTCAAAAGCATAAGAGTTTCAAATAATAAAATTTTTAATACAATGAAAGATTTAGAATATAAAATTTATGGATGAGTTTAGATCATTAACACGGACAACTAAATTCATCACAATTTCATTCTTCTTAGCATCTTCTTGTCTTCACATCTTCAAGGTCTGTCACTACATCTATCATTTGCCACATATGTTTCCTATTCGATATTCTAAAATAAATTTTTGAAAAGTTTCCTTGGTTAAAGACAAAATTTAAACCTTAATATTTCAAAAATTTTCTGCCCCCGTTTTGCTGCCTCATCACATAAAATGTGTTTATTTTGGGCCGGGTGAAGTTTTATCGGAAAAAAATATTATATCAGGACACTTAATGATGCAAATTTTCATCAGATGTCTGAGTCCGATTCGTATATGTCAATGGATCCAAATTGTCACGTGACCTCTTATTATTAGATATCAGATATAAATTTGCGTCAAATATCGTGATACAATAATTTTTTGCTTCATTGTAGATGCTAAAATGTTTTACATGTAAGGGACACTTAATGATGCAAATTTTCATCAGATGTCTGGGTCCGATTCTTATATGTCAATGGACCCAAATTGTCACGTGACATCTTATTATTAGATATAAGATGCAAATTTACGTCAAATATCGTGATACAATAATTTTTTGCTTCATTGTAGAATGTCAACACGCGGCCATGCTAAAATGTTTTACATGTAAATCATGAATGAGGTCAACCCCACATGAATATGAAATTGGAACGGGACGTTGGAAAAGTAATACTTTTTCTTTGTCAAAAGCTTATGGGCATATTTTTCACAAAATATACTTCCAATTTCCGCCATTTCGCCACCGGATCAATCGGAGTGCACTGAAGGCCGAGTAAGCGGCGCCACCATGGAATACCAGAACAAGCACATCCTCGCCCCCATGGTTCGCGTGGTAATTTTACTTCTTTCCTCCTCCCAATCTTCGACCTTGGAAATAATGGCGGCATTTTTGTGCGGATGATGGTTCATAATTTACATCTATACGATTCTTTCACATCCGATTGGAATTTTAAATGATTTTAAAGTGTTTTTAATGCAGGGCACTCTGCCGCTTAGGTTACTGGCAGCCGAGTATGGAGCTGACATCACCTACGGGGAGGAGATCATCGATCACAGAATTTTAAAATGCGAACGGCGTGTGAATGGTATTGCACTAATTTATCTATTTCAGCTCTTTGCTTTTGGTCTTTCGAACTTAAAACTTTGGCCGGTTGATCTAATGATTTGTCATAGCCTTTAAATTGTTTCTGGAGCGTTAAAAGGAATTTGGGGGCCATTTTGTTCAATTTTATTTGCATTTGAGTGTTAATAAGATGTTTGTGTTTTTAATATGCCGGTGTTTTCTGTATTATACTGTGTTTTTTTAGGTTTTTAATATCTATCTTAAAACACAATAGCAACATTCTTCAAATGTAATGAGAGTAGAGGTTGGCCGAATAAGATTGTCATTTTGAAGTAGGAAGTATTATTTGAAGATGTGAGTGAACCAAACAATTGATAACTTGAAATTACTCAACATGAAATTGCATATGAGATTTTCAATGCTAATTGCTTTATATTTTTTGATCATAGTATGACTCTACTTGGTAAGGCAAATAAATAATTTGTATTGTTAGTCTCGTTTAAGAAATATGATTAGAAGGAGTTTTAAGGTGTCGATTATTGAGGAAAATATAATTAAATATGTAGTGAATTTTAGCAGGAACATATGAAGACCTGGTAGGTAAAGTGTCATTATGCAAAGTGGATGGCATGATGTGGAATATAATTATGGCAAAAGGCTCACAAGGAAAATGGTAAGGTTTTTTTGTGAATAATATGTCTTTAGTAGGAAACAAAAAAGCATTACATAGATAGTGCGCTTAAGTAAGTCATTTTAATGATAGTTGAAAAGGTATTATGTTACCAATGTTCGAGGACAACTTACTTTTATCAAAGGAACATACAAAAAATGTGCATCTTGCAAAATGGAGAGCATATGAACCTATAGGGTTTGGGGATATATTATGGCGAAAGGTTCAAAAAGAAAGCAACTTTTTGTCCAAAGCTATCAATGTTGGAAGTTGTTCAAGTGGTGTTAAATTTATATTAAAAACATATTTACTCTTCACAAGAATTAGTACTGAATGAGGTTTCAAAAAATTAGCTCGAGATTACTTTGATACAAATTTGCCACCTGTGCCTAGAAGTATTGATATAAAAGTTAGATTTTGTTTAATGACTGAAGATTCATTATTTAGGAAAATGTTGCAAAGTGTAACGCGCCCCTAAGATTCTTTATATATATATATATTTCCTGTTTCACTTGACTGGTTAAATAAATCATTGAAGATATGCAGTTGCCTGACAATATGTTTATTTTTTAGCAGAACTATTTTCCCTTGCGTTTCTTTGTTTGTTTCATTTTTTCTTCGAAAGTTGCGCATAACTTTCTTTTATTGCTCATCTAGCCATTGTAAACACTTTTGTTTTGAATAGAGAATATTTATTGTACTTACCTTGCAATTGCTAATTTTGAGTTTCAGAGTTTCGTTTTGAATAATAAGATAGTCCAAATTTGTTCACTTATAAAATGTTTTATTTTGTTACCATAACTGCAGCTGTGTTTTTTCCTTAATCCTTGATTTCTTTTTTGTTGTAGTTGTTGCTAATATTTTAGTTTTATTACTTTTATACTTGACCCTAATTTGTTTAATTTTTGGTAGACTATATCGGGACTATCGATTTTGTGGATAAGGGAACAGGTGATGTTGTTTTTAGAACCTGTCACGAGGAGAGAAATAGGATTGTGTTTCAGATGGGCACCTCTGATGCTGTCAGGGCTCTAGCTGCTGCTGAGTTAGTGTGAGTCTATCCTTTTTTTTGAACAAATAAAGATAAAAAATAACTATACAATTGTTTTTGTCATTACATATATTGCTATAACACGGTTTAAAAATAAATATCTTATAAGTTTAAAAATGAATATCTTGTAAGTGGATATCAACATGCTTTTTTATCTAATTTACTGGTGATTTATGGCATGTTCCTTAAAACGTTGTTAGATTATTTTTTAAATAGAAGTCAATTTGTTTCATTTCATAATTGGTTGGTTGATTTTACCCCTAATGAGTGGTTAGATATTTTTTGTTGCCAGCTGGTCTTTTTTATGAGGTTCAATAGAATTGGACTGCATCTTCACCTTAAGCTAAGAAGTGGATTCTTATATATATATATATACATCTATGTGTGTATGTGTGCACGCGCGCGCGTTCACCCAAGCTTCCTTTTGCGCCAGTTCTGCTTTGATCATTTGAAATCCGTTTGCGTGAAGCCTTTTTTGATTGGATGAAGACTTCCATACAAGGTGGCCTAATTAGGTTGATAGATCTTGACTTATTCCACCTTGTTGCCCGAGCAAAAGCATTATTTATTATGGACCATCAACACTTCTAAAAGTCAACGTTTTCCTCTTGTGAAGTTCCTATTCCTTGTAATTTTCTCATATGCATGGATTATTACTTTTTCATCCATAAATTCACTGTGTTTGTGCTCAAAGCCAAAATTTGCCGGTCATTAGCTTCACCTATCTGTGAACTTAAATACTCTAATATTTATGTTTTCCATGCACTTGGTATTCCTCTTGTTGTCTGATGCTGTTCAAAGCTTTTATAACTTTAGCACTTTTATTTTGCCATTATTAAATGCCACCCTCCCTGTCTTTCCTCATCCAGCATCCTTATTTTTTGCAGATCCGAAGATGTTGCTGCTATTGATATCAACATGGGGTGCCCCAGGTCATTCTCAGTCAGTGGAGGAATGGGTGCTGCATTACTCTCTAAACCTGAACTTGTCCATGATGTACTCCATATTCTTAATTTAAAAATATATTTTAAGTAATCTTAGTAAATAGTTTTCTCTAATTCCATCAAGCAATACCATGCTGCACCTCTTCACCAGATCTTGGCCACATTGAGGAGGAATTTGAACAGCACAGTAACTTGTAAGATTCGTCTGCTCAATTCATCCCATGATACAGTGGAACTTTCACGTCAAATTGAGATGTCTGGGGTTTCTGCACTTGCTGTTCATGGAAGGTATTCAACTCTTTATAACCTTGTACTTGTTTCTTTGATAACATGTGCAACTTATTCAATAGATGGGCAGTGATTTTTTGTACTTTTTCTGGGCTTTAGTACTAGATCAAGTTATTTTCATAGCACTTAACTTTTTATGGAAGGCATTCAAATTCTGGTAACCTTATTTTAGGTAATTCCTTATTCGAATGATTCAACTGATGTGTGGTGATCGTGTTAGAATTTCTTTTAGATTGCTGCATGTAGCTTAGTTTTGCTAAATTCCGTGCCTTCTTTGTGTTCTATCCTGTTTAGGAGCTGTTATTTGACTTTCATTACTGTTCATAAAAATTTGCGGGACCTTTTTTTTTCTTGGATTGACTTTCTGAATTCTTATTTTCCTGTTTTTTGAGTTACGGTTTTTACGATCAATCATGACAAGAGTTTTCCTTGGAACTTATAAAATCTTAATTGTTTTCTAGTTGTCTTTTGAAAAGCTAAATTGGTTCTTAAGTTGAGATGCTATTGTGAGCTTTAAGCATGCGTCAATATTGCAGCTGGTGTTATGCTACTTATAACTCTGTAAAGTGCTTCAAATGCATTATTGCTTATTTCATTTATCTTCTGTTTTTATTATTACTCTTTGTATCTATTTGATTTTACTTATAAATTTGTTCCACATTGCCACCATATGGCTTGTAGGAGAGTTAAGGACAGGCCTCGAGATCCTGCAAAGTGGAATGAGATTGCCGATGTTGTTTCAGCATTATCTATTCCTGTTATAGCTAATGGCGATGTCTTCGATTATGAACATTTTAAACGGATAAAAATTGCTACTGGTAATTAAGGATGCATTATTTTTCCTTTTTATTATTTACTGCTTTTTTGTGCAATCGAAATGAATAGTTCCCATATTTGAATTTTATTATCTTATTCTTTATTTGTGAGCTCAAGGCGGGTAAATTCTCATATTCTGGACGGAAATATAGTGAAGATAACAAAAAAGACTCCTAAGTAGAGGTGAATTACCCTTTTTATTTTCTTCCGTGTAAGTAAAATGTCACACGAACTCTGCCTCCCCTCTGGCTCGATTATAGATAACCTCCTCCTCCTGTTTCTTTTTCTTCTCCCTCTATTGTTGCTTCTTCTTCTTCTTCGATTTCTTCTTTCTTCTTATTTTTCTTTCTCATTCCTCTCGTTCTTCTTTTGGCTTTCTCTCTTACTCTCTCGGGCTTCCCATTGTCCCTCTCTCTTGCTGGGTTCGAATGAAAGGAGACGAGGAAAAATCTTTGTCTTAACGCTCCAATAAGCGGTGTGGTCTCGCTCGAATGACCTTACCAATGAAGTTAATTTTTTTTTGTTTTGTTATTGCATGACTAGACAATTCGCAAGGTCGACTAGATGCCACGATCCGACCTAAGAGTTTGGAATACCAATACGGGAATGAACGATCGGACGAAAGAAGTAAACTATCTAAACATTTTTATTTCATAATTAAATCTAATAAAAAAACACAAAAGAGTCATTCTATTCATAAAACTTCAATTTACAAACAATTTATATATATATTTTTTTACAACTAACATAGCATAAAAAAACTAAATGTAATTTCTTTCGGCCTTAGTTGTTCGGCGGCTTTACGCATGCTCTCTATATTCATTTATTCTACAGTAGATTTTCTTAAAAAAAAATAGATGTTGAAGGTGTGAGTTAAACTAAGCAACATGTAAAATATTTATAAATTACAACAATTCTTATTTTTAAAATATTTAACAAAAAATTAATTAGTAAAGAACCAGAAGCAGTAAAAAGAAAATAATATTTTTATAAACAAATGTTATCATCAGAATGATTAGACTCTGAAAAGAATTTGTTATCATCACAATAATTAGATTCTGAAGATATTTTATCAAGTTTTGGATAACCAATGATGACTATACAATGTTCATTACCATCCACTTATCCTACAGTTGTATATCCTACTTCAACTTTTGACTTTGCTCCTTTATATTCAGTATTCCAAAGATTATTAAAGTAGTGATTGTCTTTTGGACCACGTGCGTGTTATTAAACTTTGTTTTGCTAAATTAGTAACACAAGACCAATATTGATTAAAAAAAAGTTCTATTATTTAACTTCTGCGTATCAAATGGTAGCGGGGTTAGGGCAAACTTATTGACATACTGGTTGATCTTATGGTACATGGATAATTCAGACTTTTTTTTAGCTTGAGGTAATTGTTCTTTCTTCTTTATCATCTTCTTATAGGGAGATCTTCTATTGGATTCCTACTTTTTTTGGGGTGACAGGCCAACCTACAATAAATGACTCATCCTCTTAGCTGGATTTTAAGTCAATATCCACTACCGGTGTCCTATCCTTCAGATTTGATGGAGATCATCTGGTTCTTATCCTTGATTACTCCACAACTTTTTTGTGGTTTTATCACCTAATAGTATGTTTGGAGAGATGTAGGAACATTGGAATATTACTTGGTGTTCGTCTTCATCTTTCGATGACATCTCTTATTTTTATTTTTCATCTTTTTCATTCTTTTTTTTGTTGCCATTTCTATTTAAATATTTTATATTGTGGCATTTTCCTTTACTTTCTTTTTATTTGTTTTAATTTCTTTTTCAATTTTTATTTTTTTTGCGGAATTCTTCTTTTCTTTTTCTTCCAAGTTTTCAGTTGCAGGTATCCCTTAGAAAATAGTTTTTGCTTTTTCTGTGAAGGTAGTACGTTGCATCTTCATAAATTTTGACTTTATGGATATAAAATGATTTTAGGTGACCCTTGATGCAGTATTTTATGTTGCCTCTCTAGCATTTGATGCTTTGATGGAGTGAATAAGGTAACCATCTGGTGTTTGTTAAGCCAATGTCTTCCCAACAATGCATTGAAGGACGTTTCTGAATCAATGATATGGAACGTTGCTTCAGTTTAGAAATCCTCAACTTTGAGTAAAAGGGTTATGAGTCTATAGCTCTTTCACCTTTCTCATTTAATCCACGTAATGAAATCTTGTCAGTTGAAATTTTGTGTGCATCAATGTTGAGGTAAGTAAGGGTTATCAAATTTATTATTTTAATCGATGCACCTGAATCAACAAGAACTTTGGATAATCAAAATCATCTCATATTTACAAAGATGTAAAGTGGTCGACTATGATCAACTATTCTTAGTAGAAGGTCATCATTGGTGAAAGTTAATTTGGTAACTTTATTGAAGCAGTTTATATCTCCATTTAGGGAAACAAATATCAGTTTGGCCATACATATTTCAGAACATAGCAAGGCGTTATTAAGTGACTCTCTCTTCTTTTTGGATAAGTCAAGAGCATTGTAGATACAAATTATAACTGAAAATTTTCTTAAATGGGACAACACATCGTAATCAACTTTAGATGGAGCCTCCACAAGCGTATCCTGGGTAGGAACATCTGTTGACCTCAATTTTGAGGTATTCCTTTCCCTTTCTTTAGATACCCTAGGATCTAGCCTTAGAATTTTTCTATTTTGACTTTCCTAGAGAACTAAACCGGGACATACAATATTTAGACATTCAAGCCATTTCTTCGCTCCTTGAAGTTTCATATGTATAGTTTCTAATCTTTGACGTCTAGTTGAGTCAATTAAAACCGACATATTGAAGCTCTTGTTGAGTTTCCATAGGAATTTAAAAGACGTAGGTGGACCCGATGCCGTTTGATTTTCTGTCGCGAGCAGTTTACTTGACTTTGGTTGTCGCTTATGTGAGGACCGGTCAATGATATACTCGTTCAACAGTTCCGATTGGACCAAAATAACTTAAAGTTAAATTGGTACGATATTCGACAAACTTTTTGGGGTGACTCTAGATGACGAGACAGAACGCGTCTGTGCGTCCAGGACTTTGATTTTAGCCGGTAAGGACATATATCTAGATAGAGTACCAAGTTGGATTAAGTTGTGCATAAATTGATAAATTTTGAATAAAATAATAATATTTTTTTGTTTAGTAAATTCAATTAAATAAAAAAAAAACCTACGCTTCCTTAACCCACGCCTCCCCTTCTCCTCTTCGGACCGAACCGAAACCCTCGCTTCTGCATTCGGTGAGTTCCCTGCCGAACCCTTGCCCCTCTTTCGGCCAAAATCTAGAAGCTTATTTTCGGTTCTCCAGTCATCTTCCTTCCTTCCGAGCCCTAACCGACTCTCGCCTTCGGTTATAACTTCCGGTCGCGCTCCTCTATTGGATTCTCCTGTTTCTCCTCACCACCCCGATTCTCACTTGCGGTAAGTTTTCTTCCTTCCCGTTTCCTATAAATACCCCATTTGGGGGAGAGTTTCGGGGTTGGGATTTTTGATTCGTGCGCTAAGGAAAAAATTTCGGTTGTTGGCATTTCATTTGGGCGATTCACTCGTGCGACTTGGAAATTTCATTACTGCTCATGAGATTTTCTTTACACTTTCTGGAAGTAAGTTCTTCTCTTTTTCGACTGTCCCAAGGGATTCTTGACTTTAGAAAGTCATTTATATGAGAATTTATATTCATGTGATGGATTTGTACTACAGTATCATGAAGTAGATAGAAATTCTAATATCTCTTTAGAATTATATTTGATTACTTGGGAAGGTTTCTTCTGGCTTTCTTGTAGAACTTGAAGTTTTCTTTCCCTCTTATATACTCATTCATGAATCTTAAATGTGGTTTTAATTTCAAGAAAGAAAGAAAGACATGTCGAAATATGATGATTACAATTAGATATTTGAGTTAGCCGTGATTTTTTTATCTTAAAAAATAAGGGGACTTGTGAGGAAACTTCCAGCAAAGATTTAGAACTTTGCATACCTTACATGAATTTCACATTCTTGCTTTCGATTCTCTTTTACCTTAGCTGCAGTTTGTTTTTTTTGTTTTGCAGAGAAGCCTCCTATCCTATACGGGTTCTTGTTTTGATTTATATTTTCTGAATTCTTTTTATTTGCGGGTTATGGCTTCAAATTATTAAGCATCGGAGGTTTTTTTTTTACTTTCTTGGCTTTAAAAAAAATTAGTGGCTAGGATCATATTGATCTAATATCTCTTTCTGAATGATTTTGTGATTTTTTTACTTTCTTGGCTTTCCCTGCTACACTCTGAAATCTGAATCATATTGGTTTTGAGATTACGAATTGTTGTCTCCTTAAGTGGCTAGAATTTGGTTTGGTTTTTGTACATGTTCATATTTGGAGTGAGCACAATCCCTATATATATCTATATGAGTTTCCTGAGTCTGGTCACCTTTCACAGCGGCATACTTATTGTGGATTCATATTTTTTTTTACATATTCTTTCTTACTCAATATTATAAATTATTTGAGGAGAACTTGTTTAGAGGACATATTATTGATTCCTTTCATATGCCTTTATTTGGATAACTGCTTCAAATATTCCACTAAATTTAATAAAAGTTTTACATACTGTCGCCGTTTTATTTTTTAACTTTCATGATTTGTTTGAAAAAAGTAGTGATTTTGTGATTTTGAAAATAATTTAAATATGAATAAAACCTTTTTTATTTTAAAATGTAACATTTTAATTTTAAAATATGTAAGACCAAACGAATCTCACATTTTAAATAACTTAAATAATTGAATACAATACTACAAATAATACACTTATCCCGAATGATAAATATATCACTTATAATAAATATCACTTGTAATAGGGATTCAATCACCTAGACTAAAGAATTTGTGACATCCATATTGGTCTGCGAAATATTTTATAAAAAGGCCAACAAGTTCCCCTATCTAACATAAAAATTAGATAGGGTTTATTTTATCTGGGTTCCTGGTTCTCTATAGAGGCAAGC